CTTCCCGGTGAAGCCGAAGCTGAAATCGAAACCGAGAACCCCAAAGAAAACCCCTGAATCCAAGTATTGGTCATCCTTCAAAACCCAACAAATCCCCGACCTCATCTCCGTCCCTTCTCTCACCTTCTCTCCCACAGCCCCTCACTCCTTCGCCGCTGCCCACTCCGCCTCCCTCACGCTCTACAGCTCCCAAACCCTCTCCCCCACTGCTACAATATCCTCCTTCTCCGACGCCGTATCCTGCGCCTCCTTCCGCTCCGACGCCCTCCTCCTTGCCGCCTCCGATCTCTCTGGCCTCGTTCAGGTCTTCGACACCAGGTCCCGCACCCGCCTCCGCCGCCTCCGCTCCCACACCCGTCCCGTCCGCTTCGTCCACTTCCCCGTCCTTGACAAACTTCACCTCATCTCTGCGGGCGATGACGCCCTCGTCAAGTACTGGGACGTCGCCGAGGAGGCTCCCGTGGCCGAATTCCTCGGCCACAAGGACTATGTCAGGTGTGGAGACTCCTCCCCTGTTAACTCCGATGTCTTCATTACCGGTTCTTATGACCACGTCGTCAAGCTCTGGGACGTTAGGGTTAGGGATTCGAAATCGTCTGTGCAGGTCAATCACGGCGCGCCCGTGGAGGATGCTATTTTCTTGCCTTCGGGAGGGATGGTTGCGACGGCGGGAGGGAATTCTATTAAGCTGTGGGACTTGATTGGCGGCGGGAGGCTTTTGTTCTCCATGGAGAGTCATAACAAGACGGTGACTTCCATCTGCGTTGGTCGAATTGGGAAGGATTTTGGAGCGGAATCGAATCAGTTTAGGATTATGAGTGTGGGGTTGGATGGGTACTTTAAGGTGTTTGATTATGGATCATTTAAGGTTACACATTCTATGAGGTTCCCTGCGCCTCTTTTGTCTGTTGCTTACTCGCCGGATTGTTCGACGCGAGTGATTGGGTCCTCCAATGGACTGATCTATGCTAGCAAGAGGAAAGTGAAGAGTAGTGAAGAGGAGAAGGAGAGTGAGTCTAGTTCGTTTTGGAGAGTTGCGCCTGTGGAGCGTACTGAGAAGAGATTGTTGAGGCCTTCCCATTTTAGGTATTTCCATAGAGGGCAGGGAGAGAAACCCTCTGCTGGGGATTACTTGGTTATGAAGCCCAAGAAGGCGAAGCTGGCCGAGCATGACAAACTGTTGAATAAGTTTGAGCACGCGGAGGCTCTGGTGTCTGTTTTGGAGAGCAAGAACCCCGGGAATGTGTTGGCTGTGATGGAGGAGTTGGTGGCTAGGAAGAAGTTGCTCAAGTGTGTCTCCAACTTGGGTGTAGAGAAGCTTGAACTACTCTTGGTATTCTTGCATAAGTATTGTACCGTGCCTAGATATTCCAGTTTGCTGATGGGATTGGCAAAGAAAGTTCTTGAAATGAGGGCCGATGATATTAGAGCTTCTCAAACCCTCAAGAGGCATGTCAGAAATCTGAAGAGATCTGTTGAAGAGGAGATTCGGGTGCAACAGTCATTGCAAGAGATACAGGGTATAATTTCTCCTTTGTTGAAGATTGCTGGAAGATGAAAGTTTGGGCTTCTCTTCAATGAGCTGATTTTGTTAGGATATCCTCTTTTAATTTTTTTGTTTGTTTGTTTGAAAATGTATTCTTTACTCCGGAAATTTATTTTAAACAATGTCAGTTACTCTAGCTACTGTGATCCTTGAGAAAGCACCGGGAAATGTTTTAAATTATTGCCAACTGTGTTTTAGGGATTCAACTTGCACTTTCAACTGTGATCTCATTAATATAGTTTTGTTTGGTATGATGACCTTCTCAACATGCATATCTTTTATTATGCTGTGTATTGTTCATGATAGTGCTGTGTTTTCATATCCCTATTATCCTTTTGGCAAGAAGGTATAAAATCCCAAATTTTTAAATTAGAGCTCTTTGTGCACCTCTTTGGAAGGTATCCAAATTTTCTAGCAGCTAACTGTTAGATAAAGATGTAATGTGCTATTATATTACATTACTGAACCTTGAATTGCAGTAGTGACAATACATCAAATTTGTTAACAATTTACTAATTTTTACAAAATAACTGGCTAAAATGCTTCTTTGCTTGCTCCTCAAAAGTTTGTAATGTAAAATTACTCCTTTATTTAGAGGGTGGCTCATATGCTTATGCATGTTGGCAATCAACTCATGGTGATTTTATTTAATCATTAACTTACCTTTAAAAATTATTTTATATATTCAATAAGAAGTCAGGTATGTTTTCTGGCTGGACGGGTCACTGATTTAGCTTCGTCCAATGATTAAGCAATTAACATAATCAACTCAAATTAAAATATAGAGCATGGAAAATACTGCAAGAGTTGTTTTAAAGCTTTACATTGAGAGCTTCAACCTTCAGGTTCTGGCTCATATACTAGTATTTACGTCAATGCTGTGCCTAAGTGATGATAGAAGGATTTCTCAAGGAATAGTTCAATGCTGGTGCTGAAATAGCTATGGATTAGAGCGACAAACTGCTTCCTGGTACTTCACTTGTTTGATCGCTAGGTCTGGTTTTCTTTGGAAGCTAGTGCCTCAATGAAGGATTATTTAGGAAATACAAAGCCTGAATTTGTTATTGGTAGGTAGGCAGCCCAAGTTTCTGTAAGCATCTTTTTATCTCTAATTTTGCACGGGATATCTGAAGCTAGGTACTATTTCTTGCTATGTTAGCGTTAATTTATAATTATTTTCTAGCTTTCAGATATTGCTGAATTAGAGAATGAATATATACAGTGGATTTTGGTACTTTTCTATTCCGTTTGTGTTATTGATTTTGGTACACTTCCTGGCCTTAATGACCAGATACCCTGATTACAAGCCAGAGAAAGGAAGCTGAAACCATTTAAACACCAACAAGTACTAAGCAGTCCATTTAAAAAAACCTGTAATTCCAGTACGTATTATACCTTGACATACTGATTTTGGTTGGTATAACATACACAAATGTTGTGTGATAAGTATAGAAGTGGGGGAACTTTGATATGCTGCCAAGCCAATATTTATGCGTGAACCAGCTATTCTTCAGCTGAAGGCTCCTGTCAAAAACGGTATTTGGTGATCTTCTTAGTCAGTGGTGATTTGATGCGGTTATTTGATGTATAAAATGGATTTCCTTCTACTTTAGGGGACATAACATAAGTTTGTTACTTGCATACATTGGTAGATTAACATTGCTCATGCATCAAAATGGCCTATGTGTAGATAGAGTATCAATCGACTCTTCTCTACCCCACTTTTATCGTGATACTTTCATGTAATCCTCTATCTTTTATTTCATTGCTGTCATTGGAACATAGTTCCATCATTCTAATCATGAACTAACTTATTTTTTAAATGTCAACCGTCCATATTCTTAAAATGTTAAATAATAGGTTCTCCTTTGCAAGCAAACACCAAATTCGTTTTTAAGAGCATATGTTAGTATGTATCATGAACATTATGAAGTTTATATGTTAGCCACAGTTGAGGTTTCGAGGGATATTGTTTTGCACCTTAATGGTGGTTCATTATTTTGAATTCGGTTTAAAATGGTTTATATGTGGGTGGGGCCTTGGTAAGGATTCTACTTTGTGAGCTAGAGGTTTCAAATTTAAATCTTGGTTACAGTTTCTCTGCTTGCCGGGGTAAGATTGTTTACATTTTTTTCCATGACTCCACCAACTGGAAGCCTCAAGCTTGGGCTGCCTGTCTTTACTTGTTTACACTATGTCTTAAATTGTTTTCCTATCAAAAACCATATCTAAATATTTACTTGCAATTTGTTGCAACTTGAAGTAAAACTTGCTGACTGATGGTTGGGTTATTATGTAGCGTGTGTTCCTTAACAGGGTTCGTTAATCTTACACTAGGTCTGTTTTGGTATTGTTCTGAGTAAATAATACATTTACTTTAATCAATATCTGAGTGAGAAGCTTTTGTTTAAAGCATTTTTCTCATGCTGTGTTCGTGGGAACATTTTGGAATTAGCTATTACATCTAATATTTCATGTATAACATTGGAATTAGCTATAACATACATTGGAATATCTTTCCATTCAGTAGAACAGATAGAGAGGCTTGAAAGGCCCTGCGACGTTTAATGGTACCTCTTCTTTGTTTATCTATCTATTTTTTGTCACGCAGCTTTCTGTTTTATTTGCATCCCTCTGTTTCCCCCTTAGAACGGCTGAATTTCAATCATCTCTTCAATTTTGAGATCATTGACTAAGAGGCTACATTTTTTAAGGGCACATTCCTCTGTCTATTTTTCATCTAAGATCACTTAATATCCTCTAACTGTAATTCAAGTTAAATGGCACAGAAGAATCAAAGACACTTTTTCATTTAAAATTCGAAACCGTGGTCTCTATGGTTCACATAATCACACGCTCTTTTGGCTTTGGAAAAACATTTGTTGCCATGAGTAATATAAATTAAACTATTTGTATAAATATTAGAAATTTATAATAATGTGAAATATTATATTGATAAATGATTTATTGTTTCCATGACCTTTGAGTAATATAAATTAAACTATTTGTATAATATTTTTTGTTTATTGACAAATGTTTTTTTTATAGTATTTAAATATTTGTCTAATTTATATTTTTAATTTTATTCAACTTAAAAAAATAATACTCGGAGAATCACATCACACTTGCTAAAATATTAAAACAAGTTATATATGATATAAGTATGTTAGGATAAGTTTTTCTCTAAAAAAATCTGTAGAAAAGAAAAATAAAGAAAACAATTATGAAGGCAGTAATATTTTAAAGGATGCAGTAGATCTATCTCAGCAAAAGTGACATCAGTGTATACAAACAAACACATTCTTTTATTAAAGGTCATTGATCATAATTAGTAACTCAAATTAACAACTGAAAGACCATATTCAAGGTAACCCTCAAATTAACAACTGAAAGACCATATATAAAAATAGGAAATTAAAACCCCAAAACAGCTCTCAATTAGTATTAAACTTGTTTATGAGTTGACAACCGAACACTTTTTCCGTATTTCTCCATCAGAGCCAGTGAGGACCTCAATTTTTCCCATTCTCTTCATTGACTCTGCGAACTCTGTTAAGAACTTGTCTTCATCCACCAACTCTCCTGCTATATCTGCTGACTGATCTAGTTTTAGAAGGGCAGCATCTGACTGGAACAGACCCTTGTTCTGGAGAAGGTTGGAATAATAGTCACTATTGAATTTGGTAGAGCTTCCAGGGTCCATTTCCACCGTTGTGGTTGTGTCACTCAAACTCGTGCACTTGGTCTTCAAGAATGCAGCATAGTTGGAATTCAAAGAAGGGTCTTGATCACCTTTCCCCGTGAAATTATAAAGCCTGTTACTGAACAAGTTGCAATGCCCTACTCCGATTGTGTGTGCCCCTACATATATGAAAAAAATGTATATGTACACATTTGTGTTAAACTTGTTAATAATGTGTTCTATGTATTTCTGACATGTTATCTTGCTTTGTACGTAATTCCTTGCAACTACTAAAAATGTTACCTGATAATACAACCAGATCGTGCAAAGTGAGACCTTTGCTAGCAAAACTTTGTCTGAGTTGGGTGAGGTTGAAGAAAGGTGTTGGGATATTGGCCAAGGCTTCGCCACTTGTCGATACCGTGCCATCTCTTCTACCAGTGAGAACTTCCCACATAGGTTTATTAAACTGCATTTATATATCAGGTAAAGTTGCATGAAGTGATAACCTAATAACAAGATTATATATGCGACATTTTTGTTTAAACAAATTCAACATGCATAATTAGAGTAGAATATACGAAGAGTTGGCTTACTTGGACAGAAACAGCGTCCCTAGTTGCCAATGTTAGAATGTCAGCACAAGATACAGTTTTGGGACATTTTGCTTCCACTGCACTTTTTATGTCATCAATGACATCAAAGCCAGCCAAAGATAAATTTGGAATTGCATCCCTCTCTGCAGAGTTATTGGAAGTAGAGCTCAACAAAACTGACCCATCACAACCCTGAAATGTATGTTTGTGGTGTAACCATGTCATGTTATATTAATTATGTTTTTGCATATTGAAATATATGCCAGTAAAATTTGTATATGAAAACTACGTAAAAAGAAAAAATAAATACGTAGACAATCATGGAATTGATGTTAGTATGTGTACCCTGACAAAACAATCATGAAAATGCAATCTAATCAACTTGGCAGGCAAATTGGGATTATCAGACACATGCTGCTGAGTTTTGCTCTTAATAATGTCCTCGGCTTCAGGGCACGAGTCGCGGTAGAATTTTTTCTTGAGGTCCCCTCCCTGACAAACCCCAAGGAAACCTAAAAGTACCACACATAGCAAAATTCTGAATTTCATGTTCAAATGCAACCCTTCTCTTAACTCACTTCCTGTAGTAAGTATACAGTGTTTTAGCTTGAGAAATGGAATGCTTATGTAGAAGAACCTTGCTCCCTTTTATAGGCATTGTAAGTCATCGTTCTAAGGCACATATTATGTATTTTAAGTTGTTAGGGAGAGATTTATTTCAGTATATAAGCGGCCGGTTCCTTTGTGTAGCTATCATTTCATGCATCTCTTCAATCATTGGACCCAATATGCATGCATAGGGCATAGCTATTAGCTGGTTTTAGTCAAATACGCACCTACCAAATGAATACTCACAACACGGTTTAGAAATTGATATAATATCAGCTCACATAATAATCAACTTTAAAATCTTCCAATCCTGTTGTGGTTAGAACATGCCACCAGGCTTGTATAATGTATTCCTTTTTGTCATACTTCTTAGGTCAACCCTCTTTTAAGCTTTCTTCTGTCTGTTTCTTTTCATATTTTTAAGCTTTGACGCTTGAGCATCTCCACTAGCGATTAAATTTGTGTACATAACTGCTTAATATGCACGTCTGTAAGTTAACATATATCGAACGAGTCACAGTGAGATGCAAATGCAGGCAGAATATTAAATCTTTAACATTTACATTAAGCTGTTTTCAAGCAGTATAATTACTTGCCAAAAACATAGTTGGGGACTGGTTCCCATTTCATTAACAGTTAGATAACCAGCTTATATCAGAATATGTGAATTCAATAAACAAAAGTATAAAAAATGCGTGGAGTAGCATAAAGCTATTTGGTTAATACCAGATATATACCAAACAGTTGCATACATTGCCCTGTTGTTTCTTGTGATCGAAGGTAAAGACTATTTGCATTCCAAGGAAGGTTTAATTGAGAAAAGAAATTTCAATAACCAAAGTCAATGCTTATCTGTGTCATAAACATTGTTTTCTAAGTTTGTCTTAGAGCTAGATCCCTGCACATGGTTGCTCGACCACGCGTTTAGGATGTCTTTTCTTTAGACACAAATGGTTCGGGTATATTCATTTCCCTTCTCTCTATAAACACATATTCATATTCTTGTTCTTGCACGATTGGATTACATGCAGTAAACTAGTGTAAAAATCACAAAAAAAAAAAAACAAAATTGGTATCATATATTCTCATAAAAGTCAATATTCTGCTAGAGGTTGACATTATTATACGTTAATTAATTATATGACTGTAGCATGTGTGTGATAGAGTCAAATTTTTTAATACATCGATTCTCATTTTTTTTATTAATGGATGAAATTTAACTTTTATATGTTTTTATCCTCTCAATTTGACACTATTGTAATTAGATAAAAGAATGAAAAAGAAATAAAATATAAAAACCAATTGTGAATTTTTTTTGTCGACATTAGATATTTAATAAGAATTGATAAAAATAAAAATTGACATGTCTAATTAAAAAATATTTTATCGTGAATTTCATTACTATGTGATGGTAATTGGTAACATGTCCTCCATTTGTCACATGATAAGAGAAAAAGTTAGTTATTTTAGTTTTAGTTTATAAATCATATTTTGTTTGATTATTAGTTAAAACACTGTATTGTTCGTAATTTTTTCAACTAGTATTCAATAATTTCACTCTTCCTCAATGTCTTGTACTTGTGTGTTGCCATGGCTTTAAAAGAAATCTCCTTTTATTCTTCATATATATCACAATACCTGTAAAACTCAATTTATCTCTTATCACATTAACAAGTTTTTAGTCATTAGCAAAACTTAGAAAACATACAATTTTTTGAAGGTAATGAAAATTCAATTAAGTTTGTATTAAAAGAGGGTGAAACTAGTAAGTAAAATCATCAATAAATATCTAAATTGCAAAATGCAAGATCAACTCTTGACTAGATAAAGTCTTACGTTATGGTAGGTTTGATTTATGTGTGAAAAAAATGTTGGTGTGGAGTTACATATGATGAATGATGAGAATTTTCATGGTTTATGTGTATTTATAGTGCTAATAAAAATATGATGAAATATTAAATATTAATAATATTTCACTTATAATTAATTAAATTAAAATAATAATTTAATATTTTTTCATTGTAAGAGATAATAAAAATTTATTAATATCTAATATAAATAAAAGATAATAACACAATATTTTCAACAATAAAAAAATAAATCTAAATAAATCTATGAATTAATATGTTTTTTATCTTAGTAATATTGTAAAAGTCGTTTGATGCTATAGTTTTTTCCAAAATTTCAAGATCATATAGATATTGTTCTAAATGTTTTGACAAAGGTTTGATGAAAATCTTATGCGTGCTAACACAATTTTCAAACCCTAACAATTTAAGAATTCTGGTTTTGATAACGGAGAATCAATTTAGAAGGTTATAGAGATGGCATGACAAAGAATCGTGGAGTTTTTCATAACAATAGAGGATCAGAGAATTTAATAAAATCAACTTATGTACTTTAAATTAAGACTTTCTTTGTTTTTTATTTTCTATGTCGATTTTATAATCCACGTAAATTCAGAAAACATAAAAAGTTTAAACTTGTTATATCAATTGTAAAATAACCAATATAGTAAGTGTGGAGATTTCTAAATACAATTCTCATAAAAAAAATCTCGTATAATTTTTTTTATATAATCCAATTTTTCATGACTATTTTAGGAAATACCTTTTTTATATCAAAAATTTGTGACATAGAGATAAAATCAAACAATAAACTAGAACACAAGCAAGAAAACAATAACTAAAATAATTATGCAAATTTCAAATAATCAAAAGATTTGAAAATAAACTCAAAAAGATGTGAACTCATCAAAAGAAACAAACTCAACCATATTAAAAGAGTAAACAAAAAATGGTAATTACATTAAGGAGAAACAAATCTAGAAAATATGAGGTGGATGACCAAAGAAGATGAATCATATAAAAGATGATCATGAAAAAGAAGAAAAAGAAACAAAATATTATAATGAAGAAGATATAGATTTAAAATGTCTTAAGAGTAGAAAATATTTCAATTACAAAATAAATTAAATGAGAACATAACATATTTTAACATATCCTATAAAAGAGTTTTTATGTCAATTTAAATTTGAACCGTAAAAAAAATAACTTATTATAGTAGTTTAAATTTTAATAGAAATATAAAATTTTCTATAAGATAAAAAATGAAATGAACTTTCTAGGTTGGTTCAAATGTGAATTATCATAGAGAGTGAGTTATTATGATAGTTAAATATGAACTAATATAAAAAAAAAAATCATTTTTTTAATCTTGTAGAAGACTTATATATATTGGCTCGAATTTGAAATAATATAAAAAGTTTTTTATAAGATAAAAAAAATTGAACTACCTGGCCCATTTACATGATACTTATGGATTAATACAAAAAGTTCATAAGTATCATAGATTTAGTAAAAAAAAACCTGGTCCATTATTATTTTATTTATAAAATACCTTAAACAATAATTTACCTGTCGTTAATATAAAATATTTATAAAAACAAATAAATGTAAATAATATTAAAATAAATTACTTCCATCTAGAAATCAGTCATACTTGTAAAATTTATGACTCTCATCCAATATATGACATAATAGCTACATTCATACAAGTTTGTTTGCATATTATAATAAAATGAGAAATAAAACATAATATTATTTTTAAAGTTTAAATAACAATAATTGTAGCCTCAAGTTTCTTGACTTCACACCAAATTTTGAAAATGTTTCATCAATATTCTTCCATTGTCGAGAGTCAATTGATTGATCGAATAAGATTGCATTTTTTACCATTCGCATGTCATGTCAAATCTTTTGTATCTTTTTTTATTATTACAAACAATATGTTAAATATAATAATTGACAAATATCATAACATCTTAGCAAGGGGGTCATTTGTTCCTTCTTCACAATTACTTCCATCAATTTTCTTTTTAAATCACGACAACTCACTTGTTGGACACACCATTAATGTACCAAAATTATTTATGAACAATATGCAATCATTAGGGTATGCATATATCTTCTTGTACTCAAAACTCATTAGACATAATATCTTCTTTGCCTCATAGATACGATTAGGTAATGTATTATCTTCTAAAAGCATCTTCTTCAACAACTCTAATAATTTGATGAAACTTCTCTAAATTATCATTCATCCATTCTTAAAAAAACTTTATTATAGACATAGTTGAGATGTCTAATATTTCTCCATGTTCTATAATTCTTAACAATATCAGAGACAAACAACTTATCATGTATATCCCCAACTTCGTGACGAATTTGATTCAAACAACAAATGCATGGACAATATATGCCTCTTTGATATGTTTTTCATTTTCACGATCAAATTGCAAAAAAAATTCAACTCTCTTTTGTATTCTTCACTAATACAACATACATTCATCCAATTCTAGTTTGTAGCTACATATATTACACAATTTGTCACTTCTAAATACTCAAACACATATTCACATTTACAAAAAAATTAATTATATATAAACAACAAAAAATGTGAGACTCACAAATAAATCGTGGAGATATAACAATGAAGTGTAATAAACCATACGTGGACTTAAACGAATAAATAGACAATCACAAACAATAACAGTTTAATTTTAATAATAATATAATAAATACATTAATGCAATTATCATAATTAAGATAAAAAAAATTATAAGTTCAATTTAAACATAGAACTAGAAATATAGAACATTAACCTCAAAGATACACAAAATACCCTAAAACTCAAATTCAATCCACGAAAAATGTCAACCACCACAAATGGGTCATAATATAGGTGTTATCGCCACATGCTGTAATCGAAAAACACTCTTGGAGGTGCTTCACTAGTCATTGTCTCCATTGTCTATTAAAAAATTGTCAAGCACGAAAAAGAAGTCATGGGAGAAATAAAACGCTATTTTTATGTTATTTTTATGTTAGATCACAGTGATTAACTTAAAAGTCAATTTTTATGTTAGGTAACAGTACATC